ATCACTTAACATTTGAGTTTGTTTTCTTATGGTTTATTGCACTCATTGTAAGTCAAATATATTGAAGTGACTGTTATTTTGTATATATTGATTGTTTAGCTTTTATTTATGTCTTAAAGGTCCCATGTCATGGCCATTTCTACTGATCATAATTCCATTGTTGAGGTATACTAAAATAGATTTATACTGTGCAATTTTCCAAACTCACATTGGTTTCTCATACAGCATCTCTGTATAGTATGTGTATTCTCTGGGTGTTTCTCAATCGCGAGTAAAGCTGCTTCAGAGCCACTATTTCAAGCATACTACGTCATCGAGTGCCGCCGAAGTACTGTTCCAATCTCCAGTATACTTGGAAATCTACCGAGCCCGGCATACTCCGTTTGGAGAAATATCGAGTGTGCACATGAGTAGACTTCGCGGTCTTAAAATCCCCACAATGCTTTGCGCACGGACCAATTTCCCCAAATCTGTGGCGGAAGATGTAAGGCGGGGCCTCTCATATGACGCACACCTGCACACTTGCTAGCGTGTTCCACTCTTTGTTTTCCGAATGTCAGGAAGTATTCTTGACTCGCTTCTGAAGCAAGATGCTCGGCAGACATGTGCTACTGTTGATAATTTGTGATCTTCTCGCTCCCAGGAAAGAAACTTAAAATAACGAGACTAATGGAGTCTCTGAAAAGGTTCAAATGGGTAGTTTAATTAAGTAACGTGGTTAAAGAACAAGCATGGTGAATGGAGAGACAAAGCCGGTGTTGTCTTGAGGGAGGCTGCAGCGAAGGGAAGAGACTGAGTTATCTTTCGTCCTGCCTTTTTATCCACGTCTCGTTGTCCCCCGCTGTGCAAATAGTGGGTGGCCCCCTACTCATTTGCCGGTTCGATATCGCGAGAGCACAGATGATTTCGACATTGATATTCTCTGCCTACTTCCTTAAGCATTTTCTCCTCATTATCTCTGTCATGACTTTCTATTTAATACCTTATAAACAGCTGTAATACTTAGTTTAGAAGTCCTAGTGGTTCCGCTCCGGCACAGTTCTTATTTTACGGAAATTCCCTCTGACGTCATAGCTTCTCACGTATCTGTAAACACTACGATCAACTAGACCTTCATTTAATATTCAGCAGTAATAATATCTTAACGTCTATCGATGTAGTGTTAAAGTCCGTACGTTTGTGTGTAACACTCCAAGTCATTTTCACTTTACATTCAGAAAACGCAACATTAGTCACAAGCTAACCGGATAAAGGATTTTTCAAAATAAAAGCTTGGCATTGATTTCCTGAGAACTTCCGGGCTTTTCCACAATAAAACAGCTTTAAACTGACGATATGTTTTAGACTGAATTATGCTGTTTAACATTGATTTTAATTTCTAACACTACCAAGCAAGCGTACTCGCGATTGAGAAACACCCACTCTGTCCTAAACGGCAGAAGCAGTGGCGAGCCGCGAGCTTTATACCTAGGCCCTCTGACCCCCACCAATTCCCTCGAAAAAAAGAAAAGAAAATAGTTATTACGTCGCAGCGTATACTTCAGCGGAATATCAAAACAACGGCCCAGGGTGCAAAACGCATCAATGACAGCGACCCTCTACCACACAAAACAACACCTGTGAACCCAATTTGTGTTCTTTGACATTGAAAATGATATTGCATTGTGTTTGTTACTTTCGTTGCAGTTGTATGTCTTAAGTGTAATTTGGCATGCTTTTATTTTGAAGGCGAGTTCACGCTGTTGACAGGAAGTTGTTGTTGCTATGGAAACAAGAAAAGTTTCACAGCGGGCGGAACTTGTCATAAAGTCCGCGGTAAAACGAATGAAAAATATAACAAAAATAATATTTAAAAAATATATATATTTTTTAAATGTTTTTAAATATTATTTTTTAGAATATCTTAGGCCCTCACAGAGGGCCTAGAGGGCCCTGACGGCTCCCCACTGATTAGAAGTCAGTACACATTAGCCTAATTATTAACAGAATGTTGTTCAATTTTGTTCAAAATGGAGTCACTTAGCATTGGCGTTTAAATGTTACATTCTATTATACAAAAACCCCACTTGTCATTTGTGTTTGAATATATTGAATATTCACATACATATGAATATATTAATTTGATTCAAACCATTGGAAGTTTGCGCACTATCTCAAGTATTCACAGCATATTAGACTGTATCTTCTATCTCTCCAATTGCATTTAATATAGAGCATGAACTTAATAACATATTTGTGTATTTGAGAACAAATTGATCAACTGACAGCAAACATTTTTGAGATAATCCCTCTATGTTTAACTTTCATTTGCAGAATGACAAAGCCCAAAACCCAACTGTGCCCTTCCTGCCAGGCCCCAAATTCCCCTGGGGCGTAAAACATGTGTGGCGTGTGGCGTGTGTCTACCCCCTTCAAATAAATAACATTTTTTTTTAAAAAGAAGCGGAATTGAAGGACTCTAGCTGGGGGGCTTCTGTGAAGAGCAACAGGAACGCCAGCAGGACCGTTAAGTCGGCCGAGCTATCTGTGAGTTTAAATGACTTATTATTTAAGATGTTTGGCCTCTCAGACGATTACATATCTTATTTGTCAAACAGCCTTGCCCTCAGTGAATGTGAAACCATTTTTCGGGCTTTAACAAACCAAAAGATTTGTATCATTGATCAATGTGCCTGTATGCAATCTTTTTCGCTCCAATTCTTGCAGGTTCTTAAACTACAGCACGGTCCTTTTCCTTTGCAATAAGGGCCGCAGTGGGGAGATCCGTGGGGATCTGGTCCACCATTTTGGTAACACTGATGGGGTCGTTAGGGAGATCCTACTCAAAATGAGGAAACTCTATGAGTACCTCCTGAAAAGTAAGATCATCCTTGTACTTTATTATCTCATTGTGTAGTCGTCCATGGGCTTTGTGTCAATGCATTCATCAAATTCACACTTCTGTTACATCTATCCCGTTATATCATTAAAATGTCATCCCCCCCTGAGCCTTTTTTATATAATACAACCTATGCTGTATTATAGAACAAAGGCTGTCAACATGGGCTTGTCAGGGCCAGCATGTTATCACTGTGAACACTAAGATACTAATATGAGGGTACCACACTAATGGTATTGCAGTTACCTACTTTTTAGTTTTTATTTATAATTAATTATTTGTATGCATATTTCTTTATTTTGTATTGTGTTTTAAGCCTGTACAGCACTTTGGACAACATTGAAATGTGCTATACACAAATATTTAAAGGGTTGAATTGAATGCAAATGTCGACATTACTCACCTGTAGTTAGCAAGCATGCACGTTATGCATGTGTCTCTAATACAAACACATCTCTGCAGGCATCATAAAGATATGAGGCTGCTCTGTTTTCCCAGTTTGTAACTCTTGCCTCCTCTCTTCCTGTCTTAATCCCTCTCACATGAGATGGGAGAAGAGGAGGAGACACCTCGAGAGACGAGTTGAGGCAAAAGACATTCAATGAAATTAGACATCATGACACTCCTACCTCGCACCCTGCTTTTTATCTGGGCATCCGTAGAAACATGTCAGAGCACCCACAGTTTCGAAATGACACAGAAGAAAAGTCATGCCTATTTTCTTCTGTGAGACGCACGTGGTTCTTTGCAAAAACATACCCGGCAACAACCTGTCAAAAGTCTTATCACCATGTTTCATTACAGATTTAATGTATTTATCTGCAAGTTTTAAATGATTTCTAGTTTAATGAGAGAAGCTGCTCCAGACTGCAACTACATTTTCATTATGATCATGGTCTTAACTAAATACGATAAGTTGTTGTGTTAAACACTGATATGAGAAACATAGCAATATGTCTACAGTCAGCTGTGGTAGCTTAAAAACATTATTTTCACACTACCTGAATTTCATTCACTTAAGAACTACCTGGTTGATTTATAATAAGAGGGAAATTCAATGCATTTAATTAATTTCTTGCAAGTAAGGCCAAAAATAAGTCTTCCTTAAAATGTGTTCTGTTAATTTTCCCTTGTATTATTTTCAACATTTGCAGTGTGTGCTGCACAACAAGCTGCATCAACATCTGCTGGTCCACCAGCCCCCCCTGGACCAGAGCAAGAGCCAGAGCGAGAGCCAGAGACGGAGCGAGAGCCAGAGACGGAGCGAGAGCCAGAGACGGAGCGAGAGACAGAGACGGAGCGAGAGCCAGAGACAGAGACGGAGCGAGAGACAGAGACGGAGCCAGAGCGAGAGCCAGAGACGGAGCCAGAGCAAGAGCCAGAGCCAGAGACAGAGCCCCCCGGCCTCCTTCCGGAGACATTTACTCTCCATCTTTTTTCTCTTCCTCCACCTCCTCCATGCTCCCAGCCTTCTCTCCCCCCCTTGTCTTCTCCTCCACCGCCTCCATGCTCCCAGCCTTCTCTCTCCCCCTTGTCTTCTCCTCCACCTCCTCCATGCTCCCAGCCTTCTCTCCCCCCCTTGTCTTCTCCTCCACCGCCTCCATGCTCCCAGCCTTCTCTCTCCCCCTTGTCTTCTCCTCCACCTCCTCCATGCTCCCAGCCTTCTCTCTCCTCCTTGTCTTCTCCTCCACCTCCTCCATGCTCCCAGCCTTCTCTCTCCCCCTTGTCTTCTCCTCCATCCTCCCAGCCTTCTCTCCCCCTTGTCTTCTCCTCCACCTCCTCCATGCTCCCAGCCTTCTCTCTCCCCCTTGTCTTCTCCTCCACCGCCTCCATGCTCCCAGCCTTCTCTCTCCCCCTTGTCTTCTCCTCCACCTCCTCCATGCTCCCAGCCTTCTCTCCCCCCCCTTGTCTTCTCCTCCACCGCCTCCATGCTCCCAGCCTTCTCTCTCCCCCTTGTCTTCTCCTCCACCTCCTCCATGCTCCCAGCCTTCTCTCTCCCCCTTGTCTTCTCCTCCACCGCCTCCATGCTCCCAGCCTTCTCTCTCCCCCTTGTCTTCTCCTCCACCTCCTCCATGCTCCCAGCCTTCTCTCCCCCCCTTGTCTTCTCCTCCATGCTCCCAGCCTTCTCTCTCCCCATTGTCTTCTCCTCCACCTCCTCCATGCTCCCAGCCTTCTCTCCCCCCCTTGTCTTCTCCTCCACCTCCTCCATGCTCCCAGCCTTCTCTCTCCCCATTGTCTTCTCCTCCACCTCCTCCATGCTCCCAGCCTTCTCTCTCCTCCTTATCTTCTCCTCCACCTCCTCCATGCTCCCAGCCTTCTCTCTCCTCCTTGTCTTCTCCTCCACCGCCTCCACCGTCAAAGAAAAGTCGAAAAGGTTCGATTTGCACTATACTTTATACTATACAATACATTTCTTTAAATGATTGTTTGGAAGACTTATTACCTAATTATTAAATTGGTGTTATTTATTTTTAGAATGCAGGAAACACAGGACCCAGAAGGTGTTCCTCTATGAGAGCATTGTGGAAAGAAGAGTTTTTAATGTAAGTGTGTTATAATTTCTTCCTTTTTGTTTTTCTTGTTAAATAACATAAAAACGTACAGAACATTATTGGTACCGTCTACAGACCATCAGTGAGATATCTGCACAGAGCCCAAACGATACTAACATATAACGCCTCTGAATCCAGAGATACACAAGTATCCACTATCGTACAAGTATGGAGCGGTGAGGTTCCTCAATCCATCCTCGACACTGCACCTTTTGTTGTCATTGTAAGCATTACAGGACTACGTTTTGCATCACCTTATAACCTTGTGTTGTAGGAAACTCCCAGTCTTAAAGAAGCTGCTCCATACTGGTACGATAGTGGATTCTTCTGTATCTCTGGTTTCAGATGCTGTTGTCTGTTAGTATTGTTTATGTGTAGAAATCTAACCTTATTGATGGTCTATAAATGGTACAAATAATGTTCTGTAAAGTTGTATCACCTAACTTTGTAAAGTATCTCTCATTAATATTTCTGTCCATTTCATGTCATGCCTTTCAGCAAAGACAAGAAGTGAAAATTCGCTGGACACCATGCTCCGAGTGGTAAGTTTGTCCTTAATGACCATACATGTATGTGTTGTACTGGAAGCAAAGGGTTTATACACTGATACAGTAGGCTCATCTCAATTGAATACTTTTGTATTGTATGTTGTTATGTAATTTGTCCTACAGAAGAGAGACACAAATCACTAACATATGTATTAGTTATGCTACCCGTATTTGTATATATCCTAAATGTTTGACGTGCTGTGGGTCTACCACACATGCATCACAAACCACAAGTAAGAACTGTACGTTATTATTTTATAATCAAAAAATTATTATAGAATTTGTAAGTATATTTAACACACTTTAATGTTTTTATAGAGTTCGATCTCCTGATTCGTTTAAGAGATTTAATATATTTTACTCTTAATGAAGCACTTTAAACATTTAATGACTCTGATCCTCCTTTAACGGTAAGATCAGCTGCAGTGAGCAGAGGCTGTGCAGCTGGGGGCGGAGGTCTGATGCGCGAGTAGTGTGCTCTCGTGTATCCTCCCTTTCGTCTCCTCTGGAAGCCTCCTCCCTCACCCCTCCTCGACTCCTCCGTTTGCGTTGAAGCGATTGTGACGTCCTTCAACATGGCGTGTCTTGATTGATTTCCGGGTCAAGTCCCGGAGGAGCGGGAGAGAGAGGAGTCGAAGAGGGACATTGAGCTGAAGCTAATGTTTCAAATCCTATTTTAAATTGACTTACTTGCCTGATTAAGCATCAGAAATATATATAGCATGACATATTAATAATTATTCAACTGGTCTTTATGTGTGTTTTGCAGTGGCAAGGACTGGGAGGACACATGGGAGCCTGCCCAAAACTATAGCAGCTCAACATAATAACACACAGACACACACATACACATACACACAGACACACACACACATACATACACAGACACAAACACACACACACACATACACACACACACACACACATACATACACACACACGCACACACACACACACACACACACACACAATACGTTTTTTCAATAAATTGTTTCAATAAATTGTTGTTTCTGTTGTGTATTTTTTGTACAATTATTTCTCAATAGGGTAAAGCCATTTAAAATGTTTTAGTTTTTGGTATGTTAATGCAAATGTGACAATCATTATTTTCGGACTGCCTCAGTCTTAAAACACAAGATAGATATCAATTTTTGTTATGGTCTTCTGTATATCTCATGAATAATACTGGTACAATTTGAATTTGCCCCAAAACGTGGAAATGCAGACCAGATCTTCTAAATGCCAGGGACCGGAACATCAGGAGCATCTCTAAAAGACGATATGTGACAGTCCTGCAGCAACGGACCATATGAGAAACATTATAGCCGCGTTCACACCAAGTACTTTCCTGTACTTAGTTCCGGCACTAAGAGCCCTGGCGCTTTTAACCCCAGGGTACTTAGTACAGATCGCGTTCACACCGGAGTACTTTTCCCTGAGGGAAGATTACAAGTACAGTAGGTGGCGGTAAGCACCTTAAAGTTGTTTGCAACCCGCTACAAAACAAGAGAAGAAGAAAAACTGATACAGGATCTGTTTAATCGCCATGTCGGTTTTCTTTATTGCACTCTCAAGACATAACATTAAATAGAAATATTTTAAATGTAACTAAAGTGTCAGTTGTACATGTCAGTAAACATTGTCAATATAAAATAAAGTGTCAGTTGTACTATATAATAACAGTAATAACAATATAAAATAAACTCCCAGCTGTAGGGAGTCTCAGCAGCAAACCCACCTTTATTATATATCTTCCTGAGACCCACTGCATCCGTCTGCCATAAACACTATGCAAACATACATGTTAGTTTTGCCCCATAGTGGACTCCATGTTGTGTTGTGTGAAATGGGGGGGAATTAAAAGTTTAGGTCAAATAATATTTAAAATTATATAAATTGTCATATTTGTGTATGTGCCCCTGCCATTCCCCCACAAGGTTGCAACATTGATGATAAATAAATGACAAATAAAGCTTTGCCAGTTTATAACCGATGAAACATGATGGTATCATGATGGTAATAATCACTTACATGTGATGTATAGGATGCTACACAGGTCACAAAAGATAAAGTGTCAGGAGAAATAAGCTTAATCGCCATGTCGGTTTTCTTTATTGCACTCTCAAGACATAACATTAAATAGAACAATTTTAAATGTAAATAAAGTGTCAGTTGTACATGTCAGTAAACATTATATATAAAATAAAGTCATAACAGTAATAACAATATAAAATAAACTGTCCCAGGTGTAGGGATATTCTCAGCAGCATGCACACCTTAGTGCAACGTTGTGTGTCGTGTGTCAGTATTTACAAAAACTATACCAAATAAACTGTTATTAAATGCAGTTTGTCGCTCATCCTGCCGCTGCGCCGACGCTTCCTCATGGCGCAGCGCCCACACTTCATCCTGGTGCTGCTGGCGCTCCATCTGCTGCTTGAACACTTCTGCCTGGCGCTCCATCGAGGTGAGCATCTTGTCCTCCGTTTCCTGGGCCTTGGTGAACAGCACCATCTGATCTCCACGCAGCGACTCATTCACCACGGCACGCCGGTCCTCCAACGCCTGGGCGGTGTCAAAGAAATTCGCATCCCGTGTCCGCTTTCCTAAGAGGGGAAAATAAGCAATATACAATATACAAGTTTAGTCGCCATGTAGTTTTACAACATACTAGGAATGTGTTTTTTGTATTTTCACAAATAGAATTAAGGTTTCACAAATCTGAAACTGTGTTATAAAGAATGTTTAGACCCTCTGGGATAATCCAGTCCAAATAAATCGGCTATGCAGCGATTTAAGAGGTTCAAACACGGAGGATTGTTCCTTTTTGAAGAGTGCTTCATGTATGCTTGAACTTTGTTTAATGTTGTTGAGGCAAGTTAAACATAAAATATGATGAATATTATGAAATAAACATGATTGTGAACATCAGTTCGATGCGCAACGTTCTTTCAAGACAAAGTTACAGTGTGTGTGTACTGTGTGCTCGGGGCCGGTGTTAGCCTATTATGGCTAGCATGGCTAGCTTGATCTACTGAGCAAATAAAAGTACATCTGAGACCATTATTGTGCAGATTAAAACCCCAGTGCATGTAGTTGATTTTACCTTCGTCATCGTTGGCCACTGAATCCGCCGTTTGTAGTCCTGCCCGAGTTTCTTTATTTTTAGCCGTGGGGCTGTGCACATTCCCAGGTCGAGTGAAAGCTACTGAACTGGCTTCAGTGCATTCCCTGGGTCGCGTCCTCTGCGTAGATCTCCAGAAGCGCCGACACCTCCTCATCATTTCTTGATGCTTGCCATAACTGCTTTCAAAAACAAACACAACGCACGGAGCGTTGTGTTTTGTAGCGAGGAAAAACAATGGCGGCTCTACACAACATTTTCAGAGTTGTACGGGCGTGGTTTGCAATTCGCCCAGCCAATCAGCACTGGGGCACTTTTGGAGAACTTTTCACCCACAGAAAAGTACGCTCTCTGAGTTGGCTCTAAAAATGGGGGTAAAAGTACCCGAGATTAAGTACGATTTTTGGTGTGAACGCGACTCACGGAACTAAAACGCGAAAAGTACGGTGAAAGTACTCCGGTGTGAACGCGGCTTATGTTAAAACCTAGAAACTTATTCTAAACCTACTATCAAAGTATTCACCTGAAATGTAGCACAATTTGGCTCCTGTTAAAAGCACTATTTGAAAAGGTAGATTTGTCAGGTCAACATGTGACTTATCTGGTTTGCTATAACAGTTTTACTCCCCAGTTGAACTGTATTTGACAATCATTAAATTCACAAACATAATTTGGGAAATAAATCAAAGACAATAGTGTAAATAAGAAAGGTTTAGTTTTTGAAACTTGTAATGGAGACGTTGATACATTAACTGTCAGCAGTATTTATTGTTACTTTGTAATTCTACTCCACCACAATTCAGAGGGTAACCTTAACCTATTTGGCACATCCCTTTCAAGGGCCCGTTCTCATGTCTTCAAATGTCCCTCCTCGACTCCCCTCCTCGACTCCTATCCTCGAGACTTAGTCCCGCCCACAGGAGATGCGAGCGGAGGAGCCGAGGAGGGGGAGAGAGGAGGGGAAGCAGCAGGCGGTTAGAGAAATGAGAACTCCTCTCCTCTGAGCGGTCATTTTAAAGAGACGTCCATTAATGATGACCGGAGGCACAGCAGCCCTCTGTCTGATGGACAGATGTGTTCATGACGACTTATATATTTACTTTGAATTCATTCACAGTGCGGTATAATGAGACAATAACAGGCTACAGATGCGGACATACACACAGACACACAGACACACACACACACACACACATATATGTATATATTTATATAAATATATACAATTTCAGAATCAAACAGAGCACTCTCATAATAACGTAACACTATCAGAGACTGGATATATCCCCCCCCCCCTCTCTGGTCGCTACAATGAGGGAAATAAATGACGGGCCAAAAGTTTTATTTACAAGTATTACAAGTAAGCAGAGGACACCAAACCAACTGAGACCTGTCTGTCCGCTGCATCTACGCACACACTGTACCACACACACCTACACCACACACACGCACCTACAGCTCCTAAAGCATATAATCAGGCTACAGCCGTTGTGTAATTTATTATGTGAAGCACTAAATGGTTTTAGAAAAATATCGACTTTGTTTGTAGATATCTACTAAACTAAAGCAAATAAAGAGAGTAGGCCTGTTATACTGAGTGATATATATTATACACACTGCTCTGCTTTCTGCACGGACCTCACAGCTGTTCTCACTGTAAACATCGCGTCGCGATGAAAGCAGTTAATAAAATAATATCCAGGGGATGCATGCAGAGCTGTCATTGGCTGAGATAAGTCCGGCCGTGCGTCTCGACTCTTTGAAACATCACTGTTGCCGGAAATGCATCCACGAAGGAGCCGTGGAGGACCGTGGAGGACCCATCAGTGTATCCTCGGTTATAGCTCCTCCAGAGAGCCTCCTCGACGCTCGATGCTCGGTCCTCGATGTGCATTTCGAGAAATGAGATGTCCTTCAACATGGCGCGCTAAAATTCATTTCCGGGTCACTACCGGAGGACCGAGGAGTCGAGGAGGGACATTTGATGACATGAGAAAGGGCCAAGATGTTCTAAGGTTTATTGACATATCATATACACAACTACGGTGCAGTTATGCAATGAATGACAAACTTTGCAGGTTCGTCAACAGTGCATTACAAGAGATCTATCAATATGTTTGTACCTCCACCATTAAACTGTCATATTCTGCACATTTCTTATACTATCTACATACATCTTATAAGAGTATAATTAATATGTAATGTCAGTTAAAATAAGTGCTTAAACGTAGTTAACATTGCAGGAAAGTTGATTGTCAAGTCCCAAAACAAATTATGCAATATATCAGGGTTGCCAACTCTCACGCATCTGGCGTGTGACACACGCTTTCACTCTCAATCTCACGCTCTCACGCTGCCCAACCTATTCTCACGCCAAAAACAAGATGAACCGGCGATCATTTTTGGTTGGTTATTTACAATGTTGAGTTGACAGCTGCTCAAGCTGTCAATCCGCTCCCTCCCCGCCCCCACCACTCTTAACAACGTTAACAGACAGCAGAGCAGTGGGAGCCGGTTGGTCAATCCCCGACCCGTATTGCGCATATCTAAGATCCAGTAGAAATGATAAAAAGTAAAAGTCTGCTGCTTATTGTTCTACTAGGCCAAAATAGAGTCAAAGAGTATATGAGAGTGAGAGTGTGTTAATTAATATATTTGGCAGTTAGGAGTAAGTCTGTAGATTTGTTTGTGTGTGTGTGTTTCATGTATAGGCCTCTCACGATAATTAATTTTGTTGGATACATTTTCCCGGAAATTATTGCGATAAACGATAATATTGTCAGCACCGTTGTATGACCATTTTAGACCACTGACATAATGATAATATATAATAATAATTCAAGTACATCCTTTCAAACTGCTTGTCACATCCTCATGTAAATGGCAATTTATCGAGTTCATTTTTATTTATCGTACGATAAGTCAATGAATTGCTTATCGCGACAGGCACAATAAAACAGTGGAAACAAACATGTTTGACTTTCATTAGTGAATGAAACTGTGTGCCCTTTATAGTCTGTGTCCATTATTGTGTATTTGCATATATTGTATATATATCCAATATATATGCTAAGGTCCCGTTACTGACATGATAGCAGTCATTTAGTGCGCATATGTGTAATTAAACCCATGATATCAAAATCTCACTCCAGCCAGGTACCCAAAGTTGGCAACCCTGAATATTAGACTTTAAGTACTTTGTCAGGCTTAATATTTATCTGTAGATTTACCAAAGCTTTTTGCTTACATGTATTTAAAAGAAGACCTTAACTTAAAGTATTATTTAATGTTTTAATAAAGCCTGATTAGTTTGCCTGATTTGCACATCCTCCTATTAATATCTGTGTACATCCGGCACTAAACTTTTGTTGTAGAGATCACTTACAGTAGCCTATCTTGTTGATATTTTCTATTCTATATTTCTATTCTATATTTCTATCATTGACCTTCTACTTTCCCCCTATTTGTATGTACTCTTAATATTTAAATGTTTTCATCAAATGTAACCCATTCAACAAAACATGCAGCAGAGATTAGCAACACAACCTTACCGGCATTGCAATGACTGTAAACGTGTAATAACGTGCTTTAACCACTAGGTGAATAATACAGACGTATAAAGTACACATGGTATACAATGCTATCAAAAACACATTGTTAATTTACATATCTAACTACCATTATCAAGCTAAATATGGACTATATGAGGCTAAGGCATTGTACCAGGTGTAGGCTAATTATGTAGGCTAAGTCAAAAACAGGCAACTGATGAGGTGTTTGAAAGGTAATTTATGAGGATCAAACAAATGAGGTACACAGAATACAATGCCATTTGATCTGTTTCATTATTAGTGTAGGACAGATATCTATATATAACACCTGAAGATGTTTTATTCATGTTAGTTCATTACTTTTAATACTAGTTGAACATTACATTTTTACATTTGTATGTTTAAAAAAATATATGTTTCTAGTTATTGTGCTTTTTATCATGTTTTATTATTGTACTCCCATTGTGTTATTTAATATTGTAGTTATTGCCTGTACAGCACTTTGGTCAACTGAAGGTTGTTTTAAATGTGATATATACAGGATATAGCTATATTATTGCACATATTTTAAAACATCAGACAAAAAGGTTTATCCGCCCCCTCATGGTGCTAATCAGTATGTGTGTTTGCTAAACAGAGATACAAACAGAACATGAGTGAACAGTCAAAACAATTTTTATCAACTTTATTGTTATGGGACCTTGTTTACATAGTGTTTCAGAGTAGACATGTAATAACATCTGAATAAAATGAAATGATAGAAAATGCCTTCAACAGCATATCAACAACCTGAAGAATAACTTACTGGACATACATATTAAGACATTAAGAAATGTGTCATTTTTTTTGTCGGAGGACCGCAGCTGACGAGAGGTGGTGTAGGGCTGAAGGAGGTCAGAGATGTATGCAGGGTCTAGGGAGTGGAAAGATGTGTAGGTTAGCAGGAGGAGTTTGTACTGGATGCGTGACTTGACCGGGAGCCAGTGAAGGTGGAGGAGGGTGGGGGTGATGTGTTGCCAGGGCTTAGTGCGGGTGAGGAGCCTGGCTGCAGAGTTCTGGACGTACTGGAGCCTGTCCAGGGCTTTGCAGGTGACCCCGAACAGAACTCCATTGCAGTAGTCCAGGCGTGAGGAGATGAAGGTATGTATTAATGTTTCTGCAACAGGGTCGGGGAGAGAGGGCCGGAGTCTGGAGATGTTTCGAAGGTGAAAAAAAGCAGTTTTGACAGTAGACCTGATGTGGGAGTTGAAGGTGAGGCTAGAGTCCAGAGTGACGCCCAGGCTGGATGGAGCAGCCATCGACGGTAAGGAGCAGATCTCCAACCTCCCGGAGCAGTGTTTTTGGGGCCACAACCATGAGCTCTGTTTTGTTTTTGTTGAGTTTCAGTAGGTTTGTTGACATCCAGGTTTGGATGTTGCGGAGGCAGTTGACTAGTGACAGCTGGGATGATGGATTGGTACTGATGTAGAGTTGGGTGTCGTCGGCATAGGAGTGGAAGTTGAGACCATGTTGGCGGAGTATTTCACAGAGGGGGAGCATGTAGATGTTAAATAGAAGGTAGTCTGGAGGGGGCTTCACCGTGTGTCATCAGAGCTGTCAGAGTCGCAGTCAGAAGAGTCATCTGAAAGACTTTGCAAGAAGCTGATGGTCTCTGCTCCAGTCAAAAGCTGCAGATAGCATCGTCTCGCATGAGTCTTCATTTCTCCGATGTCGTGCTGCTTTTTCCTAAACATGCTCTGGAGACCTTTCATCCCGTCTTTGCTCAGGCCCAATGGTGAATCTTAAATGTATAAGATAAAGACTATATTAGTTACTTCATCACCTATCAGGTGCTTTGCAGGCAGGACATCTCTTTCAGGGAATCACTGCGGGTTGAAAGGACCTTCCAGTGGTGGTTCATTTCTGTGACGAGAATCTTCTTCTCCTCCTGTAGTCTCTTCACTGTCATGACAAGGTCGAATGCTCTTCTCTTTGTCCTGAGGTCGAAAGAGTCTGGAAAGCATTTATGAGAAAACATGAATTAATGTGTATGAAAGATCAACATTCAAAGAATCTATGAAGTCTTAAATAGATTTATATATCAGACATGAAGGTTTTCCACATTTGCTGTGAGCATTCAGCAGACTGGTGTACTTACCACTGTTTGGTAGCTGCCATGGCCAAGCTTTCTCCACAGACAGAATGGCTTCGAGGCACAGCGCTTCTGTGCTTGGAACCATTGAGTTGTATTTCTCAACTGTGGCTGTCAGGACCCCTTTCTCATCCCTGATCTTGCGGCGGATCCGGGAACGACCTTTGTTGCTGTCTGTGTCTTTGTAGAGACGCTGCGAACGTCTCTTGACACTTACTGTCAGCATTTCGATCTTGCTGGCCAAGGCAGCAGCATCCCTTGGGTTGTTTGTTGTTGCTTTTTAGAGGAAATAGGTGTATTAAGCACAGTAATTCACAATAACAGTGACATTTGATCAAATGTTTTAATATTATTTTATTACATATTCTTCATGAAAAATAAGTAATGCAAATGTCAATAGAGGGTTATCACTAATTCTGAAAATGTTAAATAAATTGATAAATCATGACTACAAAAAAGTTGAAAAACGTCATTAAGATTGTCCTCACTTTCTGCCCACTCATTCACATCTCTGACCCAGTCTTCCAGCTGCTTTTCAGTCACTGCCAACTCAGCCTTCATGGACTCCAGGTTCTGCAATTGCTTTTCCAGAGCTTTTGTGGTCGACAAACGTCAAACAATTAAAGACAAGTAAATACAGAAATCTACATTTAGGCTGCAGCCACAAATAATTCTTCTAAAACTATGTTATTACCTTCAGATATCTGCGGGACAGTGAGGTGGCCAAGTTGCTGACTTTTTGCTGATTCCAGCGCATGGCCATCAGCGTCAGCATGTCTGTACGTCCTGCAAAAGAGAATATCACATTATTACTATTCCTCTTACTTCTTATACTGTAACTGGGGTTTATACTATATTGCCATCCTAAATGGTGTGCTATGGTCATAACCGTCAATGAGCTTTTATGAGTTTCTGTTGTTGGTGTAATTTGTTAGTGTAATCTGTGCCTTTCTGAACATTTTTTTTGAAAACTGACAGTAAAGGTTCTATCGTAACTCACCTGCTTTTGACATGTGTTTTGTGGTCACTGCTATCCGAGAGAGGAAGGCATTGACCTGTTGCACCTCCTCCCCTAGGGTTAGTCCAGCCCCCTCTTGATATGCCCCACTCCATTTCACCTGTTTAAAATATATTCAAAAGTACGACTCGTTACAACTTGTCACTATTCACAAGGAGGTTTTTACATAAAGTGATTGTGTCACATGGTAACAATTCCTTACTTCACATTTGAAGTCATGCGCTTTGGCATGAAACACTGAGAGAAAGGGCTTCATGTCGAGAAGATGCTGGAGCTCTGGACAGCTTTTTGTGATTCTCTGGAGGTAGGGCCAATATTTGCAGGTCACATCCATGCAAAAGAACATACTACTGGCCAGCTTTTTCTGTAGGTACAGGGGATAAGCAAAGATTTCTCCCCTGTACATATTGAGAGCACAGAGGAGCACTCCATGTCGACAGACGGCAAGCCCTAGTCCCTCCTCATCCAGCTTGCCGGCTGATTTTTGGGAGGTCTCTCTGGCTGCCGACCACTGTCCTCCACAAACACCTCTTCCGGAGACCTAATATATAAAAATGTATTGATGAAAATGGTGCAAAGACTAACCTAACCAAACCCTTCATTAGGATATTATATTATACATAATTAGAGTCTGCAATATTACATGTTTGGTTGTGGTGTGTATATAGTCCACAAATCTTGAGACGTCTTCATCCCTGGCTATAAAGACACCGTCAAAGATGGCCTGTTCCTCAGATCTAAATAAATCAAAGGAGCAATGTATGACATCTCAGATTATTGATTGATTGATTGGTTCACATCAAGATACTTTTGTTTCGTTATTTGTTCAAATACTGTGACATTATATATTTTCTATAGTACCTAGCTGCATTCTTGAAACGGTAATGCTTGCGGTTTCCATCCACGGAAACTGCAAGCATATCAGGGCTACACGCAGGACAGGTGAAGGGCTCCTCCTTGCACATGATGTCAACCTCATAACGCACAGCCTCCCACTCAAAGAAACTTTTGATGAAGCTGTCAGTTGAGATCTTCCCAGTCTATAACAAAATAAGGACATCAACAGATAATTATGTCAAAAATAAATTATAAATTATAAGGACACAGCTTACAATTTGTATAATACAAATAGATCAAAAAGGACAAGTAACTTCAATACTCACACGGCCGAAGCGCAACGTTCGCTGATCGAGCATCCTTAAATATGCCTGAAAGGATAGTCCAGGTGCAGCCATTTTCATTTCTTCAAATGAGAAGAAAACATCTGTGGCATAAATGGTGGCGAAGTGAAGGGTAGCTGGCCAGTAGTCACTCCGAAGAAGGTCGTCAACCCCAGTCGTCCATGTCGCAGTGCATGCTTCACAAGCCAACTCTGGCATGCTTAGCTCATGTCGTCCTTGAAAAACAGACAAGGTGTTTTTAATACATTTGGTATTCTTTACTCAATACCCATGTTAAGGTTTAATAGACAAGCTATCCCACATGTCTTTGAGAAGGGTTGGATATTATCAAGAAGAAACTTCAATAACATCTATCTTAAGAAACAAGACAAACATTCCTCCCATTCTTACCATTCACTGTGATCACAGTCACAGTCTTTCCTGGCTTGAGGCTCAATGACTCTGATGCACAACCACAGATTTTGTCCGGGATCTCCACAGGTACAAACCGCACTGGAAAAAAATTCAAATGGGAATTAAAAATAATTTGTCTCTTTTGAAAAATACTACATTGTTATGTGACATATTTAGGATTTAACTTTACATCAGAACATTAAAAAGAGACTTAAGCACACTGCTGGAAATTAACACAGAGATGTTGAGGAAGCTCACATTTTCAAAATGAAATTCTCAACAAGTCCAGCAAGAAAATGTACATTCACAAACCAGAACTTACCACAGGAGCAAAGGGCCATATTTAGTACATGTGTTGTTGGGGCCAATGGCTGGAAGTAACCTGCAGTAGTAGCATCTCTGTTGTGGAGGGGGTGTCTGGTGTGCATGCTGACATCACAGTCAGCACAGAAGAAGGGATGTGGTCGGCAATCCCGGCACCGGACAACAGACGTTTTGCTCCAACACTGTTGGCAAATGTGTGTTCCCACATTTGCTTGGGCCACTACGGTGTTAACCAGATGTGGTCTCGCTGCCCTCCAGCTCTCTGAAAAAAAACTTTTTCGAGTGCTCCAGTTGGTCGATGCCAGCAGAGAAGCACTTGGGGTTTGTGCTACCACCTCATCTCCTGTAGTATCGCTCAGAGACTGCTGGAGATCTCGTAGAAACCCCTCTGTTAAAATGGTACAATAAAGTCCAAAGCACAATGATTAGTTTTCTTTAAAACATACTGGATGGAGTGGTTTTGAAAGCTGTAACTACTGTGTTCTTAATTCTAGCAAATTATGAAGTTTAGAAATGAAGTACGTATCACATAAAGATACAAGTATGAATATGTGTTTCGGGCTAACCAGACCAAATGAAGTACATACCAACAGTCTCTGGAGCGATAGCTGGAGCAAAGACCAGTCAGGGTCAGGAGCATCAACGGGGGGATCAGTGTTACGACTGCAGCCAGCTGTATCAGAAAAAACATTTATTTTATACCATTAAATTGTACTACTTTTCCCTTACCAAGAGTTATGTTTTCATTCATTTCATATACTCAAGTGCCTAGAAATATATATCTTATACTGACCCTGATTTGAGACATTCCGGGTTGAACGTGGTCTTGCAAAGATCAAGTTTCCCTCACTGTCTCTCTTCTTCCAGCACATCATTGACACTGCTGCTGCTGCTGCTGCTGCTGCTGCTGCTGCTGCTGCTGCTGCTGCTGCTGCTGCTGCTGCTGCTGCTGCTGCTGCTGCTGCTGCTGCTGCTGCTGCTGCTTCCACTTTACAAAGCAAATCATCAGGACTCCGTAGGTCATCCCTTAACTCTTTCTGCTCAACCAGCTCATCTGCGCTTCTCAGGAGATCCTCAAGATCAGAATCACTCATTATAGTGAAGAGACACAGACAGAGACACAGAAGAAAGACTGACAACAGAGTTAGACAGAGAAATAAATAGAGAGATAGGAAGAGACTATCAAGTACAACACAGCAAGGACAGTTTAACAAGACAGACTTGGCTCTTAAAAGTGCCTTTGGGTTGTTTGGAGTTTGGAAAAACAAAGGGTTGTTTTTTGGAGAACAAATTGCAGGATCTGTTGAGAGAAAACAACATAATTTAGAAACTCAAAAATAAACAAACAATGCCAGTGTAATTGTTGTTGTTTACAATTTTCTACTTGGCTAATAACCAATTAATGCATACTACTGTTGTCATTAAAGGTATTTTCACACCATCGCACAGCAAAATCACTGCCACCAGTCATTTAAATAAGTAATTTGTACAAAAATTATAAAAGTATTATTACTATTAATACTAAAGACACATGTATACAAAGTATTATTAATAGATTTACGATTCGAAAATTATAAAAGCAGAGTAGACATGTGGAGATTATCCGGCTGAACAAAACGTGATCCGTCTCTTAAATGTGTGTCAACCACAGACCTTATTTCGAGCTATTTTCCAAAATCCTATGGAGAAATTGCAGTGCGTATTCTAGCTAGCTAGCTAGCAAGCTAGCTCAGGCGAGTTCATTTGTTATATTTAGGTAATACCCTATATTATTTAGTTACTATACCCCTCAGAAAGGTGCCAGAAGCAACATTGGCGCCGATTAGATTATTATTATTATTATTATTCGTGGCTAAGTTTATTTCCTATAACTATGTGTTACCCATGCTCTTACCTTGATTCTGAAGAACTGCGACTCTCTCATCCAGGTTTGGTCACGTAAAGTGCAAAGGTATGCCGTCTTTACGACGGTACCTGAGGATTGTGGGTAATGTAATCGCAAAGCGGACAGAAGTCGTCACAACAATAGCTGGGGATTGTGGGTAGTGTAGTGTCTTCGGCCATCCAAAACTCAAAACTACTTGTTTCTCTGAATTGAAGGGGAAAACGTGACAAAAGCATTGTACACTAAAACCTATCAATGTCGTTTCATTAACAAGGATAATCTGGTGGTTTTTAGTTAATGAGTAGTGCAGATATCACCTATTTATGTTTCATCCAATCACAGAGCTTGTTGACTTATCACGAGGTTTTGTCACAAAGCGGACAGAAGTCGTCACAACAATAGCTGGGGATTGTGGGTAGTGTAGTCTCTTTGGCGCTCCACATTTCAGAGAAAACAAGTTGTCTCAGAATTGAAGGGGACAAACACAAAAGCATTGTACACAATTTAAACCTATCAATGTCGTTTAATTAACAAAGGTAATCTGGTGTTTTTGAGTGGATGAGTAATGGAGATATCACTGTCAAATCAATCGACAGTAAAGAGAATACTTACTTCCGGGTGTACAATTCTCCGTTATCCAATGGGAATGGACGCTCAGATTGCCTTTAACAGCTGCCGACACAAACGAATGCCGTGCTTCCCTAAGCGTCAAATACCGCCGCCGATGGGAATACATTGCATTCAGTTGAAAGCTCTTTGCATCCGTTTATGACGCTGATGGAGACTCGGCGCGTCACAACTGGACGCCACGGAATTCTGACCAAGCGTCGCTCCTGGACGCGTTGGGAGTGAGAGTGTGTTGAGGCAAGATGCCGAAAACGCCTATAAGGGGAGGAATGGATGATATACAGTGTGTATATATGTATATTTACTAGGGCTGTCAGTCGATTAAAATATTTAATCGCGATTAATCGCATGATTGTCCATAGTTAATCGCGATTAATCGCAAATTAATCGCACATTTTTTATCTGTTCTAAATGTACCTTAGAGGGATATTTTTCAAGTTTTTAATACTCTTATCAACATATGAGTGTACAACTATGCTTTATATGTTTGTTTATTATCATTTGAACAATGACAAATATTCTCATGAATATTAAACACAACAACCTCTGAACATTACAAATATTCGCCTCAATTCAACCTAGAACCTCTCTCATACAATACTGTGTGTGTGTGTGGTGTGTGTGTGTGTGTGTGTGTGTGTGTGTGTGTGTGTGTGTGTGTGTGTGTGTGTGTGTGTGTGTGTGTGTGTGTGTGTGTGTGTGTGTGTGTGTGTGTGTGTGTGTGTGTGTGTGTGTGTGTGTGCGTGCGTGGCGTGCGTGCGTGCGTGCGTGCGTGCGTGCGTGCGTGCGTGTGTGTGAATGTGGAGGATCGTTGGAGCTATGTGCAGCTCAAGGCATATATGCCTGTGTGTATGAGCTGTGTTCCGGCACTATCCGTGCTGAGTGTGCTGTCTGGCTAGCTGCATAAAGTCAAGTGCTCGGCGCAGTTGTCGGCGAAATGTCGCTCCTCTGTTTCATTGAAACAGCTCCTTATATCCGTTAGCTCAGCTAGCTAGCACCAGATGCTAACAACAACACGTAAGGTGTGCTTCGCTCGCGCCACACATACACACTCCCTCCCGGTCCTCCCGATGGCCAGTCCGGGCCTGCCGGTGAGCGTGGAAGTGTGGTCTGCCACAAGCGGGCAGCAGGAGCGGGGCTGTCAGCATCAGCTTGTAGATGGTATTTTAAACTCGATGCGCTCTGAAACTACGGCGGCCGAGGACAAAAAATACACATGCGTTAATCGCGTTAAAATAATTAGTGGCGTTAATTTTTTTTTGCGTTAACGCGTTATTAACGCGTTAACTTGACAGCCCTAATATTTACACATGTTCATTTTGTAAATTTCTAAAAATAAAGTTTGATGGAAATACTTAGTAGCCTTTCTTCCCTGAATTATTTGCTCCTATAACATATCATTCATATATAGCAAACCATGATTTGATTTTTCATCAAACACAGTAGTAGTTTATTACAGGTAAAAAATAACGTACTCTTCATCCATTCTACGCCTCAAAGGTTTATAATCGAATCTGTACATGTTATGGAGGTTCTGCAGGGTGTGGGGTATGTATGGTGTGTTGATAAATCGTGATCTTCTCGCTCCCAGGAAAGAAACTTAAAATAACGAGACTAATGGAGTCTCTGAAAAGGTTCAAATGGGTAGTTTAATTAAGTAACGTGGTTAAAGAACAAGCATGGTTAATGGAGAGACAAAGCCGGTGTTGTCTTCAGGGAGGCTGCAGCGAAGGAAAAGGGCTGAGTTATCTTCCCTCCTGTCTTTTTATCCACGTCTCGTTGTCCCCCGCTGTGAAGATAGTGGGCCCGCCCTTCTCATCTTGTGGGTTCGATATCGCGAGAGCACAGATGATTTCGACATTGGTATTCTCTGCCTATTTCCTTAAGCATTCTCTCCTCCTTATCTCTGTCATGACTTTCTATTTAATACCTTATAAACAGCTGTAATCGTTAGTTTAGAAGTCCTAAAAACACCTCTTATGGCACAGTTCTCATTTACGGTAGCTCCCTCTGACGTCATAGCTACTCACGTAATGTGTAAACACTCCATGATCAACTGTTCCTTCATTTAATATTCAGCAGTAATAATATCTCAACGTCTATCGATGTAGTGTTAAAGTCCGTACGATTTGGTGTGTAACACTCCAAGTCATTTTCACTTTACATTCAGAAAACGTAACATTAGTCACATGCTAACCGGATAAAGGATGTTCAGAATAAAAGCTTGGCATTGATTTCCTGAGAACTTCCGGGTTTTTTCCACAATAAAACAGCTTTAAACTGACGATATATTTTAGACTGAATTATGCTGTTTAACATTGATTTTAATTTCTAACAGGTGTATATCTTGGCATATAATGTTGTGTGCTACTGTTGGTGTTTTCAGCTAGCTGGCTACATAATGTTGTAACTGTCAGCTAGGCTACCTTTCTAATTTCTTTGCAACAGACGTTTTCCACTTCGGTAGGCATCATGGCGCAGTTTCCACAAGTGCACCTAAATAACAACAGTTGTAGGTACAGTTCGGTTAGTTAGCGTACCACATATACGGCTGTACCGACGCCATTGTAAAACTGATGTTCCGCTCAGAGCCGAAAAAAGCACTGTTAGACGTGGACAGAACAGAGTGGCCGAGCTGACCAATCGGAGCACACTGGGCTCACAGGGAGGGGGGGGGCAGGAGCTCCAACAAGCCGTTTAGGACAGAGTGGGTGTTTCTCAATCGCGAGTACGCTTGCTTGGTAGCACATGTCTGCCGAGCATCTTGCTTCAGAAGCGAGTCAAGAATACTTCCTGACATTCGGAAAACAAAGAGTGGAACACGCTAGCAAGTGTGCAGGTGTGCGTCATATGAGAGGCCCCGCCTTACATCTTCCGCCACAGATTTGGGGAAATTGGTCCGTGCGCAAAGCATTGTGGGGATTTTAAGACCGCGAAGTCTACTCATGTGCACACTCGATATTTCTCCAAACGGAGTATGCCGGGCTCGGTAGATTTCCAAGTATACTGGAGATTGGAACAGTACTTCGGCGGCACTCGATGACGTAGTATGCTTGAAATAGTGGCTCTGAAGCAGCTTTACTCGCGATTGAGAAACACCCAGAGA